TATTACTTTCTGGTCTTAACATAACAGGCTTTGTTTGGTGGTGATCGCAGGAAAACAAAGCTTGTGAGATCGCAAAAGAATTATTAGGTGATTACAAAAGTGAGAATATTTCTACTTGCACAGAAACAGCATCACTTTCACCAGCAGGGTAAAGCCCTGTAATCCACAGCATCTCCTGTTTTGCTGATGTGATGTGAGAGCACACAAGATAATCTTTAGCTCTTTGGTTCCTGCCAAACTTAACACATAGCTTTCAGACCGAATATTTCATGACAGGAACTTGCTTTCTGCTGCATGCAATGTTTTTTTTATTTGAATATTCTGCTGATGAGGGCTTATCTGGTGCTATCTAGCTACACACACTTGCACATGTGCAGGACACACACACACACACACACACACACACACACACACACACACACACACACACACACACATCAAACCAACAGATTAACTGGACATGGCAGAAGAGTATCCATCTACAGCTAAATCTCTATGCTTACGTAAAGAAGGGGGGCAGCAGACTGAGGACTGATGGAGAAATGTGTTTCTGTCATCCTACTAGTGTTTATATTGTATATTTCCATCACTTTTATACCTATACTGATTTAGTGCCCATTTTATATTGATGTAAATGGGAAAGCACTGCTTGTGTCGCACTCTTCTTGGCTGTATTCCATCACTATTTGCTGTTGTAAGACATCAAAGAGTTGCAGATAGTCATTTCATCTCAATGTAAGAGATCATTTCAACATGAACTCTGTGTTAATGAATGCTAGTTTCTATAATCCAAAAAAGCTATAATCTGTAACCTTTCTGCTTTAAAATGTCTATAAACTCTAGACCTATGTTCTATATGTAGTTGAGTTGTGTACATTATCCCAAATGTTTCCAACATGTTTTCTCCTTGTGTGAGGAAGGTATGTAACATTCGGTTTAAAATTCCAGCACAAAAGATAGCAAATGTTAAAATATTTTAACTTTGGACAGCAATGCCGTTTACCATCACTGCTCTGGTCCACTAACATGATATCCAGTTTGCATTAGTGCCACAACTTGTGAATCCTGCTACTATCCATTTTTACTGTATATTAGCTAACTTAGCTAACTTTTACTGAAACTGATGTGTTTGAATGCTAAACATGCAGGGAATGAAAACGCATCAGTGTAGACTGATGTATGAGAATAAATATGAAATATAAAAAAGCAAAAAGTCAGGTAATTAGCTTTTATTACTAAATTAGTATTTTTGGTTTTATTTACTAGTCTTGTTTTGGTCTATAAAATGTCAAGAAATCACAAGTTTCCAGAGCCCAAGGTGATGTCTTCAACTTGCTAATTTGCCCTAATAGTCTAAACCTTAAAGATAAGCAATTCAAAATGATATAGCATCTAATACCTAGTATAAGTATAAGTTGGCGTGTGAGACCAACAGGCTAGTGAGAAGGCAAAACAAAGCACAACAAGGTTTATCTTCTTCAAGGTCTGCCATATATGAAATTTATATTTTACTGTGCAAGTGGTTTAATTGACAGATATTGTCTAGTTGATGTGTCGGGGACAATCCCAGCCAAAGCTAACTTAAAGTAAATGAATACATACTTCTGCACACAACGAACTCATTACTATTTCATTTCTGTCAGCACATACTGTGGAATATGTTTATATTTATTTTTACTTTGTATATAGGCCCTTATTATCTTATTATATCTCTTATGCTCTTATTATATTTCTATTTCCATTTTTTATTTTTATTTTTCATTTCTGTTCCGTATATTGTGTTAGATATTGTAGTAAAAGTATTATTTCTATTCTTTAACATGTGTGACTGTAACAAACTAACTCCCCCTGTGGATCAATAAACTATTTCTAATTCTGACTCTTTCTGATTCTGAAAGTCTTTAAATGACTAGGCCTCCCATATATGAAATGGATATTTTAACTTGATGACAATATCACAATAAAGATTTGCTGATATTCAGTTGATCCACATGATAACTTTGAATCAAATTTGCATCCGTTTCTCTGCTTCCCAACAGCAAGATGATTGGCATCGGATACATGGCCTTGAGCATTGTTCTTTCTAGAAAAAAAAGCCATGTAACGTGGGTAGATCAGAGAGTGACAATTTGTTCTGATCTTTTCCCTTTGGCTATGGAAAGAGGGGGGAGGAGAGACAGAGAGAGAAAGGGGGATGGGGTGGTTAGTATGAGACCTCTAGACCAAATATTTGCAGTGAAAGGCCCGTCGTTGTCCATTAGGGTCTCTCTGTCTATTTCTCTCTCTCTCTCTCTCTCTCTCTCTTTCAGTTTTCTGGGTGCATTAACCTCCTCTTCACAATGCTCCCGAACAAAGGAAGGACTGTATTTGTGTTTGTGTGTGTTTGTGTGTGTATTTGTTGCTCTGGCCCTCCCACTACTGTCCACCCTCCTGTATCCCTCAACAAACACTTATCCACATCACAAACCACAAAGACACACACCTGCACATAAAAAAACACTTGAAATGTATTAATCCTCCCACTTGCATATGCCAAACACACACACACACACACACACACACACACACAAAAAATAAACAAATGTATGAGAGCTGTCTGATAAATGTGTGTAATGTGTTCAGTGTTAAAATCCTCCTACGTGATAAGCAAACAGCATGTTCAGACACCCCTGCGTCACTACAGCCACTTAGGCCTCCCACACACACACACACACACACACACACACACACACACACACACACACACACACACACGCACACACACACGCACGCACACACACACGCACACACACACACAGTTACACACAGTGCACAGTATGGTTACATTCAGGCCATGAGGTTTAAGTTTTACTGGAAAAGAGCAGCAGAATATCTCTTCTTACTCAGTCATTTACAATAAATGGAACAATACCTTCCTTATTGATCTGACTTTTTGACAGCAGAAGAGGTCAAGGGTCAAACCAAAGCCCTCATGGTCATGCACTGTTGAAGGGTCTCATTCTATTACAGCCAAGCACTGATAACAAGATTATATAATAAAGTGACCTACCATGCATTTTCTGTACTCCACGTCATAAATAAATGAAGGATGTGTGACTTTTTAATGCCTTTCTCTAAATATAGGCACAGGCATGACACTAAACTGTACTGAAGGACACATTCCAAGAGGTTTTTTTGCGGCAGAACAAATATTCAAAGCAAGAGAATTAGGGTTGTGTACCAAACTTCCGTAGCAAAAACTGCCTCGCCATTCAGTACCAAATTTAAACACCAATGGAGGAAATCTCATCAGCGTCAATAAGCATGCAGAATGTTTGTACCAAGATATCATAATGCTGGTGATTAGCTGGCAGGAAAAACACAATGTTTATGCCCAGACACGCGGCTCGCTGTTTTTGGTTTCTCCAACTACTCCAGCTTCCTCCTCTGGAGTGTTTTGTGTTTGTTAAAACCTTAAGAGAAGCTTGACATTGGCTTGTTACCAAAGTACTGGATTTACCATATAATAAATAATATTCAAGCTGAGAAAGATAAATTCGGCAAAGCAAGAACCTCAGGAACAACTAGGTTTTACAGACATAAAACAAAGCTTTGTATACAAAAAAAACTTTCCAGAAAAGGCGAAATCCTACTAATGAAAGGTTGCGGTTCGATTGCTGCATTTACATTGACAACACAAATCTCATCTCATCTAATCTTTTCAATTCGGATTTTCATGTGGTCTGAATCAGACACAGGTCTGATTTTACAATGTGACCTCAGTGTGAACAGCAATATTAGAATTTATGTGGCTTTTATGTCACTCTAAATCTACGTTCGTGATGTAGGTCACTACAGGACCGTGACCTGTTCACACAGGAATGTAAATTGGGCTACATTCAGAAAATAATGTGAACAACCAGACAAAAAAAGCAGATCTGAGCAATAAATCAGAATTGAGAGCTAAGGTCACAGTGTGAACGTATCCAAATTCAAACAGAACCTGGTGCCAACCTACAGTCATTCAGCAATGGTCATGTAAATTGAATGTGACATGTGTGACACAAGGGACTAACAAACTCTCATCTCATCTAATCAGCAGCTTTAAGAGTACAACTTGTTGATCTCACTGAGGCAGATGTATAAATACATGTAAATGTCAAAGAATGAGTTAAACAAAATGCACACAAGACATAATCGACATTTTTCCAGTCAACTGTAGCAGACCGACTAATCAGTGTGTGTGTGTGTGTGTGTGTGTGTGTGTGTGTGTGTGTGTGTGTGTGTGTGTGTGTCTGTGCAACCTTGCAGTATAGACAGCTGTAACCACAATGCATTTCTCTTCTATTTAAGAGCCAGATTAATCACTGACAGCCAATATAGAGACATTTAAAACAAAGTATAAAAATATAAGACAAATTAGCCAAATAGTCAATAAATTATCTTTTTCCCATGAAACATTTAAAATGAAATAATTCACAGATACTGTACCACAATAACATTAACTCTAGTACAGCACATGCCATGCAGGATGAGTCATTTAAGAGTGGATTAAAGTTTGACTCCACTCACACACAAAGCACAGTAGAAACCTGAATTACATTTTAATACATTTAGCACTGGTTTCTGTTTGCAGAGCAGTTAGTGTAGGGATAAAAGCAATGACAGAGACAAAGGCTGTGAGGGATTCAAACCCACGCTGAAGTACAGTACACTGTATTCTGTTTGATCCACACAAATTGTTCTCAACAAAGAAGTGTCTTTGCGAGAAAGAACACAACCAGAGTTTTGTTATCTTTATATATTTCCATAAAGTTTAGAACTGCTACTGTATCTCAGTGCTCTGTAAAAAGTGCTGTTTACTGTGAATTTGACATTCTAATTTTACTTAAAAGGCGGCCAAGCTCTACTTCTGTGCAGAAAATGAAAGTGAAAAACTGAAAGGATGTTATTCTTTCCTTCCACACACACACACACACACACACACACACACACACAAGAGTACAGACACGTATCAGTACCTCTGTCAGTGCAGCTCTCGCGTCCAGGTGTACAGTGGCGCTGTGTGTTGTATCTCCATCCCCATCAATCCTTCAGCGTCCAAAGCAAAGAGAAAAACAGCAAACACAAACACTGAGCGTCTGTCAGTCGGATCCAGCACAGACACACTAACACAACAAATGTAACCAGTGTATAAATGCAGGAAAGCAATATAATCTATCCATCTCTTTCATTCAGTCTCTTCTCTCCTTCCTCACTGTCCCTGTCCCTTTCTCTCTTTGCTCTCGCTGTTTCTCAGTCCGTACACACTCACTCTCTCTCTCTCTCTTTCTCTCTCTCTCTCACACACACACACTGATTCTCCATCTGTCACCGCCCCTTCTCCTTCACCCCTCCCACCTCATACATTATTAATGAGCCTCAGACAGACTCTCACACACACACACACACACACACACACACACACGCTCCACTGCTGTCAAACACACTCACACACATTACAAGCTTTGCACAACTGTCCCACACACACACATGCAAGTCAAATACTGTGGACAGCCACCGTACAATACACTGTTGAGGCTGTATGACATCACAAAGGCATGTTTCTGCTTGATTTCAGAGTGTGTGTGGAGTTATTTGTTGGACCAGGATGTTTTAAACTAAACAAAACCATGACTAAATCATGACTACTGTAACATTAACCGAAACAACATACAACCACAAAAATAATTCAGCGTCTCCCCATTTGGAGGATGTATATATGATTTTTTTGCTCAGCGAAGCTGAGGAAGCTGCAGTCAAAACGTGTTGTTTGCTCTTAAATAAATCACAGTGAAGTCATTCCAGTGTGCAGTGGCTCATTTTGATGTTTTTTATACATATGTTGCTTTTACCTTTTAACCATCTTCAAAATGTAGTAGTCATTTTAACATAGATTAGCCTAGCAGGTAGCATATCTAAGTACAGTAGAGGAGAAAGTTGGCCGAGGTTCTAACCGAGCACAGAGCAAAAAGGGGCGGAGCTTGGGAAGCATGAATTTGTATATTGCACTTGGTCATATTGCAATTTCGATATTATATTTAAATTCTTCAGCCCTAATTGTAATTCCTTCAGCTTTTTTTTTTACTGGCAACAGGCAAAAATCACTGTTTTGTTATATCAATATCATTTATCACACAAAACACACAGAAAGTCACAGAGCTTCACACTTCTTTCATTACATGGTAAATGGGGTTTTGTACTCACAGAATAATCCATTTAAAGTCACTACTTCGAGACATCAAGTCCTTGGGTGTTCCTAAAAATGGTTTGCATTGACTAGTGTATCTAAGACTAGTATGCAGCTGATACACTTTGGTCTTGGTTTTAATCTTGTAGCCATGATAATAAAATCTTTTTATTGTAAGATTGATCTGATGGCACACTCCCCACATGTACATGTAACCCATTAACGCTCAAACACATACATCAGCCATGCATGAACACATTCACATGCAAAACACACGCAGGTCACAGAGAAGACAGGGGTCCGATCATGCATGAATGCAGCACACACAGACACACACACACACACACACACACACACACACACACACACAAACATACAGAGTTGTCCATGCATGCAGTGCAGGCGAGGAAGCCCCCTCAGCTGGAGGCTATCTGAGTTTTCTCATGGACAAGACATGGCTGGAAGGAAGGTCAGCTGGAAAAAAGTGTGTTTGAGTAAACATTAGCCTTTTAAATACTACTAACATAGTGTGTAAAGAGTAAAGGAACACTCCTACACCCAATATGCTGTCTTACATAGTCAGATGAAAAGATCTATATCTAGATATTAAACTGGTCACCATTCAAGATTCAGTTGGGGTTTGCCTAGATTTAAGGCACAGTGCAAACCTGGCAACCTGACTATGAGGATAGGATCTTTGAGATGTGTTCAGACACTGCATCCAGCTGTTGATTAAGAATCACCAATAGAGATGTCATGTTAGCCTAGAGGTTAGTATGTACCACTTAAACTGCAACATCCCCCGTTTGAATCCGGCAGTGGACCTTTGTTGCATGTGATTAAATGCATATAGATGTAAATTCCAGGTTTATATTTTTACTTTTGCTTCCAGGCTTTGTGCAAAGCTAGGCTAACTCACTTTGGAGCTATTTCTAAATTATGTTGCTATTAATCCTGACTCTAGTTTGAATGTTCCTGTGACCAGGTAACCAAGAAAGGTATTGTCTTAATGTGGACTGACTGTATAAGTTGTAGTTTCTTAAAGGTTATGACAGTAAAATAAACATGTTACGAAACAGATGAAAACTAACAAAGTTTATATTACATTGCATCTGATTCTGATTTTGATTCTGATTCTGATTCAACCCTTGGTCGCGTTCAGCCTGCAATCCAAAGTGACCTAAGTCAGATTTTTTTTTGCTCATATGTGACTCAGATCTGATTTTTTCATGACAATGTGAACAGCACAAATCACATGCAATCTGATCTTTTTAATTCTGATTTGGGCCACTTTTATACTTGGTCCACATCCTTATCAGATACAGGTCAAATTTTTTACAACGTGACCTCAGTGTATACAGTCATATCCAGTCATATCCTGTTCACACTGGAATCTGAACTAGGCCACATTTAATAAATATGTTATTAACAGCCAAACAACAGCCCTCTCCTTTAAAGGCCTCTACACACCCACACTGGTTTAGTTATTTCTGGATTGCACCAGCTTTACATATGTGTCATATGAGAGTTACTTTAATGACCAGTCTTATAAATATTAGCCTTTTCAATTCAATTTTCAATTCAGTTTTATTTGTATAGCACCAATTCATAACAGAAGTTATCTCAGGACATTTTTCAAATAGAGCAGGTCTAGACCGAACGCCTTGTAACATCTAACATAACTCCTTTTATCATCCATTGTTCTGCCTGCAGGAAGCTTGCAATATGTAGAACTGTGACACACTGCTACATGAGTATAACCATGTAGACTAATGTACACACATACATGTATCAATAGATAACACATAATCTTTTCAGTCATTGTGGCCACTTTAAAAAATAACATCCTACTGTAAAATAATCCATGTTAAAATAATTCAAGTATAATGCAGGCATACAGTATTTATGGTAATGTTAATATTGGAAGATTAACAAAAAATGTTACATGACAATGTCTCTATAACTCTCTCTATATCTAAATATCTCTAGAAATTTGCACTTGGCAATTATGATATGGTTAGGGAAAGATGGTGGCTCTACTAAAAACTGTGTACCTATGGGCAGATGGCCCTTTTAAGTCCCAGGGTAAAAAATGTTCATATTGACCCTCAACCTCCCACCCTCTTTGACCAACCAGTACTACTCTAGAATTCTAGCCAAAGCCAGGTTTGTGTGTGGCTCTTTAGTTTGTGGTACTTCAATTAAACTAAACTTAAATGGGTGCCGTCATGCCTAAGGGGTAAACACCCAGGTCGTAAAATCCAGACTTGAGCCTTTTACCATTGGGTAAACTGACAACCCTGACTAACAGACAGATTTTATTATATTAACAGTATGGAACAACTGATAAACTGTACAGTGAACCCAAACAGTGAACACAATTGTGTAAGATTTGGGTGAATTTTGAGCAGATTTCCTCATAATATTGCATCAGAGATACATTTTTTATGTTTTCATATATTTTTAATATATTCTATATTTTTAGGACCTTTTTATAAACTCTTCTGTCTGTATTGTGAATTCTCATTTAGTTTTTCTCGCAGAGTTAGACACAATGCAGAGACATTCAAGAAGGCCTCATGACCTCCCGTGAAGCTTTAGCTACCCCTAGTGGGGGTCCCGAACCCCAGGCTGGGAACCGCTGCCTTACGCTTCCAAAGCAATCAAACAAGGGTTGCTTGTTGTCACTAATATTGGAATATTTCCATCTCTACCTTCCATCACACATGGTGTCATGTGGCAGGGTGGAAAATGGGTTGAGCCAAATGACAAGTAGGTGTAAGCTGTCAGATGCACCTCAGCACAGTCTGTTCATCAAGATTCCCAACATTTACACCTCAGTCAAACATAATAATATGGAAACAAAATGTGTGATATATTCTTTTGTTTCTTTGATAAGTGAATTCAAAGTATGGGAATAATGGGAGAGAAAATGCAGAAAAAGCAAGACAGAGCAAGAAATCTAGAGAGGGAGAGAAGGTCAGTGGGAGGGGGGTTGGGTAGAAGATCTGGATGTTAAAGAGACCCCCCCCTTCAGAGTTTAAAGACAGTGATTTTCAGTTTTATGTATCTATGTTTTACACTGGTGTGTGTGTGTGTGTGTGTGTGTGTGTGTGTGTGTGTGTGTGTGTGTGTGTGTATCTAGGCTTGACCTCCTGACCTCGGCCAGCATTTTCAGCTCCCTTCTGTCTCCAGCCACACTCCCAAACAATCAATAACCCCTCCCCACACACACACACACACACACACACACACACACACAACCGAACGCCGCTAGCTGTGACATGCAAATGCCCCTTGCATATCATTAAAACATATTCCCTGACAACAATAGGATAACCTCAAAGCCCCCCTCTGCTTTTGCATAAGACGTGCGCCAAGACATTCACACACACACACACACACACACACACACACACACACACACACACACACACGAGTGCACAAACAAAAGCAAAGACAACATCAACTCGTGCCCAGATGGACTCCAGTCAGTTGACCTCTGCTCAGATCTGCAACAGACAAGCAAACAGACAAACAGACAAACAGACACCGTGTGTGAAGTGCACTTCATATCTCAACACACAAACACACACCTCATCAATCACCCTGTTACTATCTCAAAACTCAAACTTGCAGCCTGGAGTTAATATTATATATTATCAATATTAATACTGAATTTAAAAGATACAGACTGAAGTCAGCATGCAAAAGAAAGTCCATTAAATATATGTTTAATGTCTCTGAAAGCTCTGCAAAGGAGTACAATGGTATGTATCATGTTGACATAGCCAGTTATGATTCATGTCAATCATATATCGACTCTACAGCTTATATATGAATATCTATAAATGATCATGTATCTATTGGCCAATTTAAATAAAAAAACAAAAGTATAACTGTTTTTTATGTCTTTCATTAGAATTCCAATTAGAGGGTAGCAGAGCAATGGACCTGAGATTTGAACTCGAATCATACTTAAGTCACAAAACTGACTGGACACTTGACTTGGACTGCTGTGAGAACTGACTCGCTTGAGACCTATGTCTCAAAATGTTGAACTTTTTCTTTAAGAGGAGGCATTGAGGGATGT